TGAGATGCAGTTGTTTGCTTTGTTGATAAATACGGCGTCACCCCCTTTCTTCCTTCCTCATGTTGATTATTCTCGTCGATAGCTACCTAGGTAGAACCCATGAGTTGGATCTTCGATTATCCTAGTAGAGCGCCGTGACAATCAACATCTCCCTGGAGTTCAAAATCAATCTGTTGATTCCATTTTGATTGCTCTACAATGGGTTTATCGAATTTCAAGTGGCCGTCAGTCATTGTCCCGGTTGATGGTGAACGTGGAGATAAAAGGTTAGGTTTGATTGTTCTTGAAGAAGGGAACTGGGAGGGAAATATGAAAGTTGTGTTACTGGGAATTTGAGGGAAATTGGACCAACTTTATATATCTGTTGCTCTTTCTCCATGCGGCCATTCAATCCATGTTATTCGCCCAGGAAGCGAGCTGAACCTTGCACCATGTTCAGCTGATGATGCCTTTTCAGCCCGAGATGCTTCCCCACCACGTTGGAAATGGAAACCAGCAAGTCATTGTCTGCCAACAGGTCTAAGTGGGGGGAAGTTGCCACAGTGCGTAGGCCATGGTACTTGCGTAGACCATGGCACTGCGTAGACCATGTAACTACCAGTATAAAGTGCAAGTCTAAAGTGCAAGTGTGAAGCACGCAGTCTACCGCATCGGGTATAGTGGATGGGAGATGCGGACGATCCATGCCACCTTCCATATACGGCTAGTGCGGTGCTGGAATTGCACAAGTGAGTTATGCATCATGAGTCAGCTATACACTCTGAGTCAGCTGTGCACCACGCTTCATGCAACACCAGAATCGCAGCTGCAGGAGAGCATCAAGTACGGCCCTGGGATTTCCAGTACTTCAGCGTTGAAGGAAAGCCCTAAAGGTACCATACTACATGAAACCTGCTGGTGGGATCATTGGTGGAAGGTTGCAAGTGCAGGTGCGAAGCAGTTCAGTGTTTGGAGTGGGACTATTTCAGTCAATGATAGAGTGTCACTCGGGGCGGGGTGGGGCGGGCTCTGGCAGGCGATGCCCCGCCCCAGCGGGCTTTGGGGCGGGGTGAGCAATGACCCTTCCTGCCCCAAGGCCCCGGTGGGTTGGGGTGGGTTTTGGCCCAAAACCCCGAGACTCTCAAAACTAAACCCAATCAGTCGATCGAATATCGCACTATTCCAACCATGGTTAGTTTGGGGCAGCTAACGGGGCGGGTTTCCCAGCCCACCCCGAATTCTCAGTATTTTTTGTATTCAGAACATGATTACTCGATAGTTTACGCAGCCATGTATAATTACAACCAGATTACCATATCGAGATACATTCTCGTGCGAAGGTCTAAGTTGTTTATCATTGTAACAGTCGCAATATACCATAAATATCATGGATAAATCACTCTAAAATCATGTAGACCCTCATATTGGTCCATAAGTAATAGGAACTTGGAAGCATTGGGAGCCTGAGCAAATGTCCAGCTTGAACACAATACTCCAGAATATATAGCCTGAGATATATATATCACTCACGCAATTCCCATGTATACACGTATATACTGCACTCCATGCAATCACATTCTAACCATGGTGAATGACATCGTCACATCATTATAAAATGCTATTCCACATATATGTTAGTTGAAGGAACTAATACGAGAGGGATGTAAGATGTCACAGATTGTATGTAGCATTATACAGACCACAGCTACAGTTACAATTACTTCTTTTGTGCGTGTCTCCGGTCGCAAGTTTGCAACCATAGCATACTCCGTATGTAGTTAGCCTCTTGGCATTACATAATCTACGCCAGCCAATCATATTCAATGCCATTACAACGAATATACCACCTACGGGTATTCTTTCGAATGGCCTTTTATTATATTGCTCTGGTCAGTGAATACACAAAGAAGCTATAGGCATAAGTACCACCTCGAGAAATTCTCACCATGCTCAGAGACCATCTTCCTTTCTTCTATCCATTTTTCCAGAAATCGGCTGTTTTGTGAAAAGTTAATAAGTGCCATC